TATTAATATTGGTTTGACGTAAAAATAGGAGATAAATGATTTCAAGTGATAGATAGATAAAATTATGTGAGTGAGTGAATAGTGAATCTAAACTTGATGTGATATGTAATAATGATAGATTTGCATTATATAATCTTCCCTATATATTAATTCAAAATGTGCTGAGTCTAAGTGGCAAGCTCGCATGCTTCGTGATCCTATGTAGCAAAATTACATGCTTCGTTATTAGACTTGGGTAGATTTTTAATTTACTTTCAATCCAAAAATAATTAGGTTCAGATTATCCATAAATATGTTGATTATTTATGGTCATGTTAAATGTATTAATTGCATTTTGATATCATTTCTTATTATAACCATTTAATTGTAAATGTATTTTAAAAGTTAATAATTTTTATATTTTGTATCAGTTTTACATTTATATTATATCAAATTAATCATCTCTTGATGAGTTTCGATTTAACATCTATATTGTATTTTAAAAAAAATATATAAATTATATTTATCTTTATAACAATAATAAAATTATTTATTAATATTAATTAGAATAGTAAAATTATTTATCAATTAATTATTTATATTTCAAGTAGTTATATAATATAATTTATAAAAATTACTATAATATAACACTGTAAGTCGCACAAGTAACAAGTATCATTCTAAAATATATAATAATATATATTTTTTTGTAAAAAAAAAAGTAAAATAAAATTTAAAATAATTTTTTTTGAATAATTTTAAAATATAAGAATAAGTTTTTAACAAGCGCCCATGTAATAAACGGGTGTTGTACTAGTTATATTGATAATATTAAGGGTAATGTGATTGAGTCAAATTTGAGTTTAAAAAAAGCAATTAAATTGTTTTTTTTATTTTTTAAATTTCTTGTATCCATACAAAACTTAAGAGAAAAACACATACATATTATCAATGTTGGTCTATCAAATAGAACTCTTGCAAAAGTATTTGTTTTTCAAACACATCTCCAAATACTTTTTCTACCAAGTCCAAAAGCATACACCCTTCACCAGATAATAATACATCTACACCTATCATTCCCATCACCTTAGAAAATCAATTTATTTGCAGAATTTCCTATCAAAAAGAAAGATATTTTCGCATCTACATATATTATTAATTTGGTTCCAGACACTAATCATATGCGTGGTACACACTATTTGTGAATGAATATGTGTTAGATCATACTAGCCTTTGGTTCAATATCAAGACCACACACTAACCTTGTGAGAATGTCTGTATGAGCATCAAACTTGATATCATCCGGCACCGATAGGTGATCGAAAATGCACCTCATCTGCTCGCAATCGTCTGTCGATAGACCCCTCACTCGATTATCGTGGCACTCCTCATTCAACTCATCTGTACCAACATCATAAATATTATTATTATTATTATTACATCCTTGCATGCACGAGGAGTTCACGTCGGGTGGACCATCTTCGGGCGGGTGATGGCTGAGTGTGGCGGCCCGACAAAGGGCGAGGTGGTGAAGAATTAGGTCAAGCTCAGAGCGAGCGAGGGAAAGTTGATACTCGAGGTGACAGATGATGCGGTGGCAGCCGCCAACGGGATCGGCGGCGCGGGCATCGGACTCGAACATTATTGTGCGCATGGCATGGTGGCGGGCGGCCGGATCGAGGTGGCGGACAATCTTGACGATGTTGCTAACTCCGAAGAGGCGGTGGGCATTGAGAAATTGGCGCTGGCGGTCGTGGGGGAAGTAAGGGGCTAGGATGCAGTCGGCCGCGCACTTGCGCCGTTGGTACTTGCACGCGGCGCAAGCCTGGGTTGTGGTGCCATGGGGTCGGTGGTGGTGGCCGGAGGTGGAGTTATTTGGTCTTTTTGGAGTGGATTTGGGGTTGATTAATGCATGGGTGTTGTTGGTGGGGGGTTGCATGGCTGATTGATTAATGTATGTATATATATATTGGGATGAGCGTGTATTGGGTGGGAAGAGAGATGTGGGCGGCTCCGGCGGGGATGGAGATTGGATTATTCTTTAATGATGGTTTAGTGTTTGTTGATTGAATTAAGGCTTTGTTTTGTGGGGGCCTTTTTTTTTTTT